AAACGGGGGAGGTCGGCTATCAAGTGTCGTCCCCGGTCTGCAGTACTGTACTCAAGGTTCCTCGCAATCGTTCGAAGCATGTCGTCGGAGTCCACCAGAATTTCCTGAAAGATTCGACTGTAAGCGGTCTCGGGTTATAGGGTTTGGGTCTTCGACAAAATTTATTTGGAATCAACCACAGAATGAAGCTACTGCTTAAAGTGTCGGGCTTTAGGGATTATGGTCTGCAGGGTTTGGGTTTCGGCTTAAAGCGTCGGCTTTTAGGGATTAGGGTTTTCAGGGTTTGGTCGGCTTTTAGGGATTAGGGTTTTCAGGGTTTGGGTTTGGGCTTATACCCTTTAGTCACAGGCTTTAGTCACCTTGGTGAAGTTGTCGATGTCGTTGTTGTAGTCTTCCGCAGAGTACAAGTCGTGGCCCAGGTGGTCGAGTGTAATTGCCGGCACACTTTCAGGATTCGATTCTGCTTGGGACATACGGCACAGGGGGCACGGGTGGTCAGCGTGGTTCCAAAACCTACCCCCTGCAATCTCCAAGTAAGCTGGCCAGTCGCATTGGATGTCAATAACACAACACTGGTTTGAAGCTTGTAGTTCATGTAGATCCTTCACCCAAGCATCCAGCAGCGGAAAGATGCTGCACCACCCACGGCAGCCACAGCGGCACATGTCTTCCGAACCTGAATACACGTCGTAAGGGGCTTAGGGTGTAGAAGTTTAGAAGCTAGGTTAGGGGACCCGAAGGGAACAGAACCACACAACAGAAAATCGCGAATCTTTTGCAAAGTAGCGAAGCAGAAAAGATACAAACTTCTGCCCAGACAAGATGTCGGTGATGTAGAACCCAGTGAAAGAACTGTGCACGGAGTACCGGACACCGTCCCAGTAGAGCCCAAGGGGCCTTACAAGGCTCTCTTGTCCAGCAGCACGGGCCCTGCGAACAACAGGATGGTTATCATAGGCCGGCAAACCTTGGACCATTTTGCGGAAGTTCGCATCGTCCTTTGCTAGCACCTCGGGGAGGAACACGTACTTCTTCAAAAGNNGACACTCTCCTGGATTGTCTCTTCTCGAAAAGAGGAACCTCCACATGATGCAAGTCTGGCTCTGGATACTCTTTCCCGGCGTGAAGCTGTATGTGCTCGTGCCCGTGGCGGCATGCTTGTTCAGGTTTGAGTGCCCATTGTGACACTCCGGTACCCCCGGCACAAGTTATCCAATGACACAGCTCGGCTATATCACTTCCTGGAAGGGAGCCCATAACGAATTTGTCTAAGAGAAACATACGAAGTCGCTTTCCAGCTTCCACCTGCGAAGCCGTGGGGCCTTGAGCAGCCCCATCCTGCTGTACTTCTGCCAGTGCTCGCTTTCGCATGACAGCATGCAACTACACTTTCACTCAACAAGTTGTTCGTGAGGGGTTTCCCGGGGTTACAGTTGGGGGTTTGCGGGGTTTAAGGGTTTAGGTGAGTTAGGGGTTTGCGGGGTTTAAGGGTTTAGGTGATTTAGGGGTTTGCGGGGTTTCAGGGTTTAGGTGATTTAGGGGTTTGCGGGGTTTAAGGGTTTAGGTGAGGGGCAGCATGCGAAACACTCGTGCAAGCTTCGGAATGACTGCTCAGAGCACACAACAACAAATCGGAAAAGCTGTCCTTTCACATCCGGTGTTGGGCCATGCTCACTTTCCATGAACACACTGGTGCAAGCTCTGTAGACAATGCTATTTTTTCAGGCGTCCGGAACACTCGGATCTCGGGGTCTAGGTTCTCCCCCGCCCAGCCCGCAAGGTCGAGCACATTGAAATGACATGGTAATCTGTGCAACCATGACCAGTCAACAGATCTCGCTGAAAGCTACCTTAAGACGAAAAGGATTTGCTCAAAGGTACAAGGTGTTACAGTTAAACGGTACAAAACATGACTGCACATCATTACACGTGAGCATGCCGCCTTGGCGGCACTGCAAAGGAAAACGAAGTCACTGGGAGGTGTCCTTGTCGAGTTTCCTCTTTTTCGGGGCCGACTTTCTGGAACCCTTGGGGTTGGGGTCGGCCTCGGTGGAAACTGCTTTGAACATGTTGTCCATCTTGCTCGCGAGGTCCAGCATCCTGCTGAGATAGCGAAGGCCGACACGAAACAAGGACCGCAAACAACTGCCAACAAAAAATGAATCTGGCCAGGTCACTGTTGGGCGGGACCTTTGCATCGATCTGCGAACAATGCAAGGTTCGGCACATAGCGATCCTTGTACTGCTTCTTCAAGGTCTTGAGGCCGCCCGGCCCCGTGCCCGAAAAAACACAGATCTTCAGCTCGTTGACGAACTCCTGGATGTTGTCGCCGTCTTTCGGGGCGAGCTGCTCCTTGAGCATGGCCTGCATGGTCTTGAACTCCTTCATGAGCGGCACGGCCCATGGCTCGTCAGCCAAAGATTCCTGCAGCCTGTCCATCGTCTGGGTCGCCCGTTGGATCTGCAGGACGATGTGCCTGGCTCCATTCTCTGCGTCCTTTGCGGAAGCCTCCTTCGGCTTCGCCTTCGCCTTGGGCTTCTTGTTGTCGCCTTTGTCGGTCTTCTCGGTCTTGGGCTGCTTGGGCTGCTTCTCAGCCGTCTCCTGGTTCTTGTCCGTCACGGCAGCCGGCTTCTCCTCGTCTTTGATCTGTTTTCGCTTGTTCGTCTTGCGGCCCGAGGTCTGCTCCTTGGAGTCGTCCTCGACCACTTCGATCCCCGGGACCGTGATGATCATCTCGGCGTAGCCCTGGAGGCCGAGGTCGGAGTCCTCGATGTCCTTCAGCGACACAGCTTCAAAGGGGAGACCCTTTGCAGCAGCAAACTTGCGGCGTGCTTTGATTTGGTAGGCTTCGGTCTCGTAGGTGGGGCTGCAGTCGCACTGCGAAGCGATCTCCTTCCACTCTTCCTCCTGCGTGCTGCTGCTCAACTTCTCCACCAGGAGAAAGTTCTCAGCCTTTGTCCAAACGTTCCACTCGCAGAACACCTCCTGATCACAGGGACGACAAAGATGAGAGACAGGGTAACATGAACCAGAAAAACCACAAGTCACACAACCAGAGAGATGACTCTTGTAACCAAGGCACCCCAAACTGGCGACACATCGCCACATAGTTGTCAGCTTGTCGAATCGCTTCCGGCTCCGAAGAGCCACCGAAAAACACACACAATTGTAGGTGTGATTTCCATGACCCCAATTCCTGCTGGCGGGTGACGTTCCTAAGCTGACTTCAGAAAGGTAGTTACAAGTTTAAGAGAAGCCCCAAAACATTATGAATAAAAGATAATATCAGTAAGTTCATTCTGAAACAAGATAGCCAAGATTCCTCACCGTTCGGACTCTTTGTTTGACAACTTTTTCAAAGCTTCTCTCGATGGCCCATGTGGCCCTGAATTTTTTTTTTAAATCCTCTGTGAGCCACTTGTACACGTCCTGCTTCACTTGCGGGGCCTTGTCCAAGGCTCGGTTCAGGGCTTGACCTGCGGCACCTCGTGCCGAAATGTCTAAGCCCAGACAAGCATAGTGTTCTAGGCCTTCCAGGGAGCTTTTCACCATTTGGGGCGTGACGTCGCTCAGGTCCATCTTGTGTTCGGTCGCATAAACTCGCAAAGCCCTTCCGATGCTCGGCGTCAGCTCATCCTGTGTCAACAGATTGTGGCTTAAGAAACCACAGAAGAAATGAACCGCGAACCCACGAACCCGTAGCCCCGATCCTTCTTTGCAGGGCTCGTCTGCTGCTCGCCGTGCGGCTTTGCAGGGCTCGTCTGCTGCTCGCCGTGCGGCTGCCGGGCGATCTGGACCTCGCTTGCAAAGCTACTGGGGTGCTTAGGGCTCAGGGAAAGCTGCAGGCTTATAGGCTCTTCCGTATTCAGGGTTTCGGTTTTGGGAATTAGGAGGCGTAACGGAGTAGGGTGCTGCCAGGGTTGGAGGGCTTAAGGGGCAGGGTGTTAAGGGGTTACAGGAGTAGGGCGTCAAGGGTCTAGGGTTTTGGGGTTTGGCCTTGTTTGCTGCACCAGCTGGCTTCGGCTTCTGCGTGGAATCGCCAGCGTCCTGCCAGGGGTCTTAAAGGCTTTAAGGAAGGGCTTATTGGGGTTTTAGGGTTTGGCCTTGTTCGCTGCACCAGCTGCCACCGGCTTCTGCTGCGGGGAATCGCCATCGCCCTGCCAGGGTTCGGGAGCTTTTGGAGCGGGGTCTCAAGGGGCTTAAGGAAAGGCTTTTATGGGTTTTACGGGTTGGCCTTGTCTGCTGCACCAGCTGCCGCCGGGTTCTGCGTGGAATCGCCATCATCCTGCCAGGGCTTGGAACAGGGTCTTAAGGGGCTTAAGGAAAGGCCTTTATGGGGTTTTAAGGTTTGGCCTTGTTTGCTGCACCAGCTGCCACCGGCTTCTGCTGCGGGGAATCGCCATCGTCCTGCCAGGGTTCGGAATGGGATCTTAAAGGGCTGTAAGGAAGGGCTTATTGGGGTTTTAGGGTTTGGCCTTGTTTGCTGCACCAGCTGCCCCCGGCTTCTGCGTGGAATCGCCAGCGTCCTGCCAGGGTTCGGGGTG